CCCCCCCCCTTATTATCAATCTTATATATATATATATAGTTTAAAAAATAGGGCTCTGATGTTGAACTGCGTCCTCGTCGCAGAGCCTGGTAACATTCTAATAGAATGGCGAAGAGTTCTACTTGATAACGACATAGATTGACAGAGTGATGTCCCCTTAGCACGGGTACGGGAGTAAACAAAACACCCGCGATCCTCGCCCGCGATCACAACAAAGTCAGAATTTCATGTGAAATATGTCGTTTATTGCAACGAAACTTACATAATTGTAAACAGTAAGGTATTTTGTTCTATATATCTGAAAATAACATGTTAATTTTCACTCAATATCTAATTATATATGAAAAACCGTGATTTTCACGGTTGACTGCGGCGTACAAGTTTTACCCCCTTGAAATACACATTATCGTCAATTTCTAAATTATTAGGTGATAAATTCACATTTTTGTAACTGTCACATTTAGAAAATAATGTTTGAAATTATTGTATAATTTTATAAAAAAATATAAACGATCGCGTTAATGAGATATTAAAATATCTCTATATGCCTGGTACGGGGTTTTGGGACGGGAGCGGGAGCGGGGTACAAGATTTACCTACCACCTATTCCTACTCTTTTTTGCTTACTAATACATGTATACAAATCTATGCCACAGAAACGTTTGAATCGATTATGATTTTATGAGACAGGCATGTAAGCGTAAATATGACCCCGAGGTGTCGATGGCGAACATAACAGAGAACGTCTACATCGAGAAGTGATGGAAGATGCAGGCTTATATGGGGATTCTATACAGGGAACATGCAGATTCATGTGTCCGGAGAAGGAAATAGATTTGTAGGTATTCCTTAATTAATCGTTTTCAACGAAAGTGATGCCATTCCCAGTTTTTGTTCATATGACCTCGGGTTGTGGATACATGCGCAGGAGCACCGGCAAATCTGGCTATATAGCTACATTGTAGTGTTGGGAATCGCTTGTAAATTCATACTCGATCATCTCTTCCAATCAAGTGACTGATGATCGACTAACGATCGATCAAATTGAACTTAAATTCAATAATTTAAGGTTATTTTCGCTTTCCGAAATCTACTTTCACTTTCGTTAACGGGGGAAACCCCGACGTTAGGGAATTTCGCTAATAACACACAACATTCATACAAAAAACAATAAGTTTGTTGACAGAACCTTATACTTACTGAAAAAACTGTATTTGAAAATGAAATTGATGATGTTTGCAATGTCAATTATGTTGTGACAGCTGTATCTCGTATTCAAAAATGCTGTGATGGATTGGTATACACCCCGTCAAACTTGACATTTTATTTGTCAGATAGCCCATACTTTCGACAAAGTGTTGTATTTATATCCAGCTTAGGACAAACAATACCTTCCAAACGTTTAAATCAGTAGCCCCCAGATGATCATAGAGTGCTGATTGGTTGTCAGGTGGACCGGCAAGCCAATTAGCGTCGTCGTTGTGTGAGACGTTCAGTCAAGTTGTTTTACCAAGAACAAACAACTCGCTGTCGGCTGTGATAATAGTATCCAAGTTTATTTTTTGTTAATACTTAAATTAGTCAAACTATAATCGATCATAGAAAACAAAGATCGATTTTCAGAAACATATAACCAGAGGTTGTGTAAATCGATTAATCGGAACAACACTACTAAATTTGGCTATCAAGTCAAATATCTATACGTATATAGGGCGTATGTAAACAAACACGCCAGCACTGGTCGTAATTATCTCGTGAATATCGTTTAAAGTGTTGACCAAACATGTGGGTCGGTGAAATGAACGATTTCCATTTAAAAACTCATTTTTCATTCATTTGTTTGAATTCCATCATTGCATTTCCCCCTGTCAACTTATACATCACTTATGAGAAACAAACTATAGCATGTCTATTCAACATGGTGTCTGCTTCGGTCGTGTTATGCCTACTGAAGATAAGCATCCCGATGATGCAGATTCGGCCTGTGCTTTCGGAATATGCTTAATGTGTCTGGAGGGAGTGAAATATTTCGTGTTTTGGTACAAAAATTGTTAATATTCCTGTCTGACCATTCAGACGGAAATGATAAAAGGATGCAGGTACCAAGAATTGCAACGGTGACATTCAACAACGTCACAGGAAATTGAGTTTGCTCTGCCCTGACACCAGACTAAGTCATTTTGACAGATAGATGTCTGGTGAGGGGCTAATTCCTGTAGGAACTCTATTTAAATCAGAGATTTATAACGTATAGGAGCTGTGCAGGAACTCTATCGTTATAAATCTCTGATTTAGATAGAGTTCCTACAGGAATTAGTGTGGGGCCAGAGCGCACTGTTATATGGAAACATGGAATTCTCCGACACCATTTGGTATTGGAGAGTTTTGAGGTGCTGATAACAAAAATCTTCTCTAACACAACACATACCTCACATATCAGTAAATGTTTGTTTTTTTGTAAATCCTCCTTCAATTATTATCACCAACAACTGCCGCATTCCTTCAGTAGAGTCCTCGGTTTTCAATCGTTCAAAATTTCCCACCAGTGAGCGAAGCGATTTTGTAGGTCATGGGAGTGACTATAATCAACAAAAAGAGTCGATCCTGAAATCTTCAAACAAGAATAATGAATATTTTCTGTTTTCTGTCCGGATCAGTATGGTTTGTTGATTAGTCAATTGATTAGTAGTCAATTATTTTACAATGTTCAAAGTTAAACAGCTTTAACCAGTAAAAAATAAAGGATTGATGTTGAGGGCAAAATATGTTCCCTGATTTACCGGATACTGTAACCTTTCAGAAGTCAAGAATTTGTGAGAGGACTACTTATTTCAATGTTTCAGGAGAGAGAGAGAAGAACTCTTACATTTCTTGGAAGGAGTAAAAGATGAAACTGGAAGGTGAGTTTTTAATCATTTAGTGTATAATTGATTCAACACCAGTGTTTCTCAAGTCAATATATATGTATGGAAATAAAGGAAAGTTTTACAGCTTTTCTGTCTGACAACAAGGACTTGAACCATGTTAGATGGCCGATAATGCATGCTGAGATGACGGGCTATGCATCCATTATTAGGTAAGAGCTACCAGGCATCAGATCTGTTAAAATTTCAACACCATCTTCTGACTAATCCAGAGTTTTAGGTTGATAATATTTAGCAAGCAGTAGCATGCTTGGATGATCATGATGGCCCAGTATCATATTTGTCCAACCAAATGACCTTGACCCTGGTAAATTCTTTAAACAACTTCTCCTGAATATATTAGTGGCTTACGGTAAAAATGAATTGCCTCAGTAGTCAAATGATCGTTAGTGTTAAGAAGATCAGATATTCAAAAAAAAAAGAAACTTAAAATTTGTTTTTATTTTCTTGTGAAAGAATTTATTACAATCCTCTTCACTGTTCACTGTTTTTTTTCATATAAGATTCAGATGTGTCCGCTCTAGGGTAGTGAAAGAATACAGTCGCCCAGCCGCTGGCAAGGAAGACCCTGAGCCAAGTGACCTACGACCTGCACATGTACTTAAAAAGACTGTTGATTACTTGTTGGGGAGGTGAGATTTTCGATTACTTGATGGCTTAAGGCTGTATGCTACCTTATTAGAATATATATGTTGAGTTCAAGACTTAAGGCTGTATGCCACCTTACTAGAATATATATGATTATTTTCACTCTTGTCTTTCACATTTACCTACTCCTCAATGTATAGAGATTATATACACAGATATAATTGTTGTTTTTTAATTAATTGAATGAATGTAATTATAGACAGCTATGTATACAACTTGAATATATTTTTTATGTTTAGAGATATAACACAAAAAAACCAGAGTGTACTCTAAATAAACCGTGAAGCGGTTTATGATGAGAGTACACTCCGCTTTTTTGTAACTCCATCACATAAAAAGTATATTCAAGTCAATCCTTATATTTTAATCTACTATACACAATCCCTGTGGAAATCCACTTTTATTGATGGACTCTTTTCTCTTAGAAATTATTACCCCGCTGTATCAGCCAATCAAAAGCGACGTTACAAACGGCGATGTCATTTTTTAACGTTTTGGGCTGATAACCGAAATTTTTAATCCAATGAAAATGCTTGTTACAAGCAAGATTGAATTATTTACTTATAACACATATACTCAGCATCATATGTATTGTAATAACAATACCCTGTGTTCACACTCCTATGCAGTATAATGATACCGTCACAAACAGCTATGTAATGTAACGACATAATCATCTACATGGCTGTAATATAACACCATCACCTGTTTCTGTCGCAGAGTGGCTGTCCGAACTGACCGCTCCTGGTCCGTTTTGTATGACTTTGTCTTTGACCGACTGCGGGCAGTCAGACAGGACATGGTTATCCAGAGTATCGGAGGATGTGATGGAATCGAGCTCCTTGAGAAAATAGTCCGCTTCCACATCTATGCTGGTTATAGGTAATTAGTTAACATCTGAATATATTAGGCGGCATTTTACTGAGTACAAAGCTACTGTCTGTACTTCTGTGTTTGTATTTCTTATTTTGGTATAATTGTCTGTCACCTATGAAAATCAAAACGTAGATTGAAGTCTTGGTAATCAACAGACGTCATTATTTATGATTAGATGAATTACACGCTGGTAATTGTGATCTATTGTTCACGTTTCACACCTATAGGTAGCAACAGGTAAATCTACCCGCTGTAACCTTCTACATGAACATTACTGATTTGTGTTCATACCGACATGCATATTTAAAAAAAAACGTTCAATCCCTTTCTGCATGAGCTGTGGAGATTGTAATATATTTTGGATTTCCCTGCGTTTGGTCGGCTTATCCCAACATTGAGAATGTATAAAAATCATGCTTTTAAAGTAACAAATATTAGAATACCCCTCAGAAAATACAAACTAGTAAATTAAAAGGCAAAATACCTTTTAATGGTTTAGATATTTTTAGTTTACATATTCAATCAACCATGCATTTCATTGTAATTCAGAAAGTAAAGAAAAATAGACTTTGATGTAAAAAAAATGGAATCAATCATTTTTTTAATACAAACATTTTATTAAAAAAAAAGACTCTGATTAATTTTAAGACTGTGTACACAGCCCATGTCGGTGTACGACCCACAGATCAACGACCAACACACCCAGGAATGTCTCAAACGGCTTATCACACTTTACGGAGTTGTCCCCCCTGATCATGCCCACCAGGAGGAATTTGAGAGCCTCTATCTCATGTTTAATCTGGGTCAGACAGATGCTTTGATGCACTTCTATGACCTTCCTAAACATGTCAGGTAAACTTTGAGATATATATCATACTAATTGCCAACCTATTTAGGAGGGAGACTCCTGATTTTGTATCCTAAAATTGACCATTTTTAGTGAATTTCATAAAATATTTCTATTTTCTAAGATCTAATGATTTCATTTTAAAAAAAACCTCAAAAGACACCATTTAAAAGTGTTATTTTTTTCCTAGGTTGTACATACATTATATTCAAGCTTTTAATTCTAAGCACGCGCATTCTCCCCCATGGAATTTTAAAAAGTTGGCAATTATAATATATATAAATATTTATTTTTTCAGACTTGTTATTTAGAAGGGTGTAATTAAAACAGTGACGTGTGTCATTAGTCAGAATAAAATGTGACATAAGGCAAACTGTAATATAATATAAGAAGAATTATTGAAAATAAAATACAGTATAAATAAAAGGTGTATTACTTATTAAATGTGTCATGTAAACTTTTAACATCCTTACACTGCGACACCAAGAAATGCAGTTATTTACCATTTTGTTTAAAAAAAAAAAAAAAAAAATTATGTGTTTGTCGTCACAACATGTGCCCATTTTTGTGTCGCCTGCAGCGTGAGGCGACATATAGGTATTACTTAAGTTCCCTTAGATTGATTAAACTAAACTTGGTACACAGATTGCATACCAATATAGCTCATAAAATGTCGCATTTCAGAACTTTACATGTATTTTAGGTGGAGTTATGCCCCTTTTATTGCCAAATAAGGGTTTTCTGTAGTAAATGCAAGAACTTTTTAATTTTTAAATCAATTCCTTTCAAATTTTGTATGGTAATGCTAGAAGCAATAACGTTCAACATGTATTATGTTTTTTTTAGAGATATTTATCATTGTCTCTTTGTTTTATCCAGGGAGTTACCATTAGTGGGTCAAGCTTATAGAATCAGCCTCGCCCATAATCTAGGGAATGCTGTCAGGAGTCTGCGTCTCATGGAGCCTGAAAAATACAAACGCTATCCTCTGTTTGTATGTGCGGCTCACCGACACATCAGCAACATCCAAAGGTGGGAACCTTTAAAGGAATATCATCAAAAACATAAAAATCTATCAACATTAACTCATTCACCCCTGAAGACACATTTGAACTCTTCTTGATTGAAGGTTGAATAGTTCATTATGAAATTTCTGGGGTGAATGAGTTAAATTATGAGTCATTTATCATGTAACACATTAATTAAACAGTATTTTAATTGTAAACAATTTATGTTAATTTGTGGCATTACTGCAGGGTGTCTGTAATGATCATAACAGTGTTCTCGTTAAATTTTGTCAGGTGTGTATGAATCAAATGAATGCTTCTTGGAGTTATTTTGATACTTAAAAGGGAAAGATAAATTGAGCAAATCAGTTTCAGTCACATTTTACACACTTTCATCCTCATTGGAAATGTGGAAAGAGGGAGATCTCCCTCATTGGAGGTTTCAGAGGTTGACACCTTGACTCAAGTGAGTGTTTTTGTCTTGTCGCCACGAAGTGAAAGCAAGACTTAGGTGTTGCTTTCCCACAACAGCGCCAACATTGTCTTTTTGCGTTTCAGTTAGTTTCACTGAAAAGTTTAAGTGCTAGACCAACCAAACTTGGACCATAGATACATCTTAGGTAGTACATCTCAACCCATGCATCAAATGCTGGATGCGGCCTACCTTTCATGGTCCATTGACTTTGTCAGCATCTCCATCAACATTAAGTTTTTGCGTTTAAGTTAGTTTCTCTGATATGTGCATTGATAGTCAAAGCGGGGCACAGGCGAGACCAATCAATCTGAATGGCTTGTTTCTCTGTGAACTCTGGTTTTCTTCCAACATCAAATAACTCCCTTCTATATAACTGACCATATAAAGCACATACACACAAACAGTGAAAACTACAGCACAGTAGTAGTGGTACCAGAAACCCAGACTGTACTCCGGTCTAGGCCAGTGTCATTGAATACCCAGTGATAACACTGGTAAAATGTCTTCTTTAAGGTCACAAGCATGTCTCACATACTTGCCAAACTTTTTGAAATTTCCTTGGGGGAGATTACGCATGCTCGTGCAGAATCAAAAGCCTAGGTAGAATGTGTGTATTTACCTCCAGGTAAAAAATAACACGTTCAAATGGCATCTCTTGAGATGTTCTTTTAGATAAAATCATCAAATCTTAGAAAACAGGAATAGTTTAGCAAATTCACTTGTTGAAAATGCTCCATTTTAAGGTCCAAAATCGGGAGTCTCCCTCCAAAATAGGGAGAGTTAGCAAGTATGGTCTCAGCGTCTGAAGTATCCGACCTTATAACCTTGCCATTAGTACATGTAGACCTCTTTACCTACTGTGCTATATTTGTAGACTATTGTTTTTCCTGCCATTTTTTTTAAAAACTTTTTTTTAACTTTTTTTAACTTTTTTTTAAAAGTATTTTTAATGATGTATGACTCTTTTTATTTTTAGTAAAACTCTTCATGTGCTGAGCGTTGGTTTTAACTCTAAATCCTTTGCGTACCCGCTGGACAAACTGACTAGACTCCTTTGGTACACGGACACGAGTCAGGCTTCGGACAGTTGTATGCATCACGGTTTGACGATTACAGAGCAGTCATCCATCTTGTTTCAGAAAACATCTTTCAGATATCCAGATAAGGTGAGAAATATATCATTTATGATTCTAATTCACCACGTTCAACTGAACATAAAGCATTTATCATATAAAACTCAACACCTGTGTATGGGATTGGCCTTCGACGGTCAACCATTTTATTTAAGGAAAGGGTACATGGAAATTAATACAAATGGTACGTGTATGTTCCTTACTTCCCTTCTCTCTTCTCTCAATCCTGAATTTGGATCCTGGCAGAAGCTAGGAAATCCCGTTCCAGAATCTTTCCTGGAGTTCGTGCCTGTCTCAAGGAAAAAAAGGGAAATTTCATAATTCTATGATTTGACAAAAACATCTTGTATACAGCTGAACCGTCAAGACTGGAATGACTATGTAACCCTCAAACTACATTTATTACTCTATAGACACCGTGTTGCCCCTGTAACACGACTGGGGTTACACGTTACCCATCCCGCCTCACGCGGCTACCTGTGTCACCTTGGCCTCATATCCGGACACTAGTACACCTGTACTACATACATTACGGTACACCGTGACTGTAATAGATACATTATAGTTGCTAATTGTTGCTTACATACAAATTTGCACATCCTGAAATTTTTCACAAGATTTCAATACAAATGTCTATCGCAAATCAACATTTAAGTAACTAATGCATACTTTCCAACTTTTTAAAATTTTCCATGGGGGAGATTATGTGTGCTCAGAACTAAAAGCATAAATAAAATGTAAGCATGTACACTCTTGTGAAAAAATAAAAATTCTAAATGGCATCTTTTGAGCTGTTCTTTCAGATGAAATCATCAGATCTTCAAAAATAGAAATTGTTTACAAAATTCACTGGCTCAAAATGCTCAACTTTAGGTTGCAAAATCGAGAGTTTCTCTCCTAAATAGGGAGAGTTGGCAAGTATGCTAATGTGTGTTGCTTGTAGTTTAATAGAACTAATTGTTTATTTCTTTATTTTTAAATAAATGGATGCATTTCATCTTTGTTTTATTTCGATATAACTTGATAAGAACAGCACGCTTTAAAGAGAGATGTGAAACAGGCCATTTAAATGTACTCTGTAGCTATAAAGTCTGTCATTGTCGTTAAACTCATTTGAATACTTATAAAGTATATTTAATGTATGTCTCTTTGGAACACAAGGGACCGTGGTGGCAAAGTGGTTAAGGCGTCTGACAATCTGCTACCACTAGCCCTCCACCACTGGGTCGCGCTGGCGAAGTGGTTAAGGCGTCTGACAATCTGCTACCACTAGCCCTCCACCACTGGGTCGTGCTGGCGAAGTGGTTAAGGCATCTGACAATCTGCTACCACTAGCTCTCCACCACTGGGTCGCGCTGGCGAAGTGGTTAAGGCGTCTGACAATCTGCTACCACTAGCCCTCCACCACTGGGTTGCAGGTTCGAGCCCTATGTGGGGCAGTCGCCAGGTACTGACCGTAGGTCGGTGGATTTTTTCCAGGAACTCCGGCATTCCTCCACCACCAAAACATTGCACGTCCATAAATGTCCGTAGCTGTTAATAGGACGTAAAACACAAACAAACCAAAACTTTGGAACACTTTCTTTTGTCACTTATACTGGTCAAGTGGTTAGTAGATACCAATGTTATGTTAGGTTTAAATTAAAGGATTTAATTGATCAACAGTTTATAGCATCCTCGTAACAAAGGTTTGTATCTATATTGAAAACAAAGTTAGCAATTTGTGTTTTAAAAAATATATAATTTCCTTAAGAATATGCAGGTGGTCAGTTGGTGCAGCGGAAAACGCACTCACCTTTCACCAAGGTGACAGGGGTTTGATTCCCTGATCGGACGTGAAAAGGTATGGGTATCACCTGCCCAACCACGTGGGTTTTCTCCAGGTACTCCGGTTTCCTCCGGTTTCCTCCGGTTTCCTCCCACCCACATTAAGAACCCCCACCACGCTTACATCCAAGCCAACAAGTGATTAATACATGTTGTGATAACTTGTTTCATAATTGTTGTAAAATAAATAAAGTTTATATTTAAAAAGAATATGCAAGAAACGTTTTTTGCTCACCTACCCGAAGGGCAAGTGAGCTTATGTCATGGTGCGGCGTCCGTCGTCCGTCGTTGTCCGTCAACTTTTAACATAAACAACTTCTTCAGAGGAGTCATGATGATAAGCTGAAAGCTTCATTGGTTAGGAGCCCGACAAAATTTGAGAATGAAAATGATAGTCAGACAAATAGTAATATTTGGCTGGTAGTTTCAACAGATGGAGCCGACAAAGTTTGTGAGTGAAATATATGTAGAAAAGTAAAATATTTAATGAGAATATTTTGCTATGACTGCTTAAATAGTCAGGTGAGCAATACAGGTGCTCTGGGCCTCTTGAAGAATCTGTTAAAAGAATAGATGGATGTTTAAATAACAAATCTCAATTTTTGTTTGTTTTAGGTGTTGCACACACATCACCCCGAGATAGACGAAATCCTTTCACCAGTATGCTTAGCTGACATCTTCCTACAAGGCGGAGCCACTCCAGAGGCCTTGGAACAAGACGGCATCACGTAGACTACTGTACAGCGACACCTTCACTATTTCATCCAATGCAAATGTTTTCCTGAAAATGTTATGGGCAGCCATTTTTACTTGTCCAGATTATACACACGTTTTGCTAATTGAAAATACATTTGATCTCAATCAGAGTTTTCGGATTTAGAACGCTTTCTAATGGTGCTCTTGTCCAAAAATTTAATTGCAAAATCCATCTTCTTTTTTAATTTTAATTCTTTTTTTTTCATTCAACTTCTTTTTCAAGGTTATTTTAGTTCCAGTAATTTTTATATCAGGAATCAATGATTTTAACCAATAACTTGTTTAAGTAAATATTTGTGATAAGATAATTATGCATGTACTGTTTTTAACATTTTTTGTTAATCCTTCCTTATTTGATTTCTGCATGAGTTTTGTTTTAGGATTTATATAAATAGTAATAAAGACAGAAAACTTCAACCCAAGGGCAAGATTTTTTTACAGTAAAAATGCAATCTGGAAATTTTAATATTTTACTGTAAAAATGTCATCTGGGATTTTTAAATTTTACTGTAAAAATGTCATATGGGATTTTTAGATTTTACAGTAAAAATGTCATCTTGGATTTTTTCAGATTTTACAGTAAAACTGTCATCTGTAATTTATAGATTTTACAGTAAAAATGTCTTTTTGGAATTCTTCAGATTTTACAGTAAAAATGTCATCTGGGAATTTTAGATTTTACAGTAAAGCTCTCATCTGGGATATTTAGATTTTACAGTAAAAACTTCATCTGGGAATTTCAGATTTTACAGTGAAAACGTCTTCTTGGATTTTTTCAGATTTTACAGTAAAAAGATGTCTTCTGGGAATTTTTAGATTTTACAGTAAAACTGTCATCTGGGATTTTTAGCTTTTACAGTAAAAATGCCATCTGGAATTTTTAGATTTTACAGTAAAATGTCTTCTGGGATTTTTAGTTTTTACAGTAAAAATGTCGTCTGGGATTTTACGATATTACTGTAAAAACAAAAACTGGGATTTTAAGATTTTACAGTAAAAACATTTTCTGGGATTTCAAGATTTTACAGTAAAAAAAAAATCTGGGATTTGAAACGGTATAAGTTTATCTATGATTTGATATTTTACAGAATAAATTTTGTCTCTGATTTTATATTTTACAGAATAAATTTTGTTTCTGATTTGATATTTTACAGAATAAACTTTGTCTCTGATTTGATATTTTACAGTATAAATATTATCGGGGATTTTCAGTATAAGTTTTATCTAGATTTTCAGTATAAATTTTATCTAGGATTTTCAGTATAAAAGTTGTCTGGGATTTGATTTTTCTCCTTCACTGAAAACTTTTTAATATTTTTAATTTTTATTTTTGTTCTTAAAGTCACAATGTCAAAAGTATGATGCTATTTTTAGAAACAGGTGCAAAAATTGATGATGTGATCCTATTTTAATAAGGCTTCAATATGCATAGTGATGATGTTTATGATGGCAGATGCACATCTATTGTAAAGTGGTGTAATTTTCATAAGAAAGATATGATGTGAGTTGTCTTTCCTTTCCTATGGAAGGATACATTGAAACGTGATTGTAATGTAGGGGTACATTCGCGTATCCGGTTGAACCGGTTGAACCTGTAAAGAATACGACAGGCACAGATCTCGACCGAGGCTGACCTCAGAAAAATTTGGCATGTGTAGATTGAGGGGTCCAGACGTACCGGACAGAAACTAAAATGCTGACTATTGCTAGCTTGCGTTATTTCTTTCTAAAACAATGTCAAGTCACATGTAGTTTTTAAGATACGTCATGTAATTCAGTGGACGCATGAAAGAAGGGCATACTATTCTTGATATATTGTTTTATATTCTCCGAAACTGTGCATTTTTAGCTCTGCTTATAGAACGGTCCAAGTGCGTTCGTTTATCGTGGAATATTTCTGCGCCACACATACCGTTTCAACTGGGATACACGAATGTAACCTAGGAGAAAAATTGAAAATGTGCCATTTCATTTAAAATCAATTCATTGTAACTCAATAAAAAAAATCTGCATTTTATTACATATATATACATATACATGTATTCTGAATACTTTGTTTTCTTTTTAAAAATGTTGTGATTAACCCTTTCATCACTGTAGACCATAATGGACTCATCCATATCAATGCATGGTAGAGTCTACTAAAGTTACATAGGGGTGGAAGGGTTATTACATACATTTTTACTGTTTGAATCAAGGGATTTTGCAATGTTTTCATGCTTATTACGAACATTTTTAAATATGAAATGAAGGCTACTTATAGACATAAGTGTAGTCTAAAATGATGTTTTATATCAATTTTAAAATATACATGAATGTAGTTAGATATTTTAATATTTTTGCATTGTAATGAAATGAAATGCAGAATAAATAACATCGATATAGAAATATTTCAGTTCAAAATACTTTTTTAATCTAGCAATAATTTGTTAATTAACAACTGTGATCCAAATTGTTGCTCCACAATGTTGCATTTCTCAGAATATTTTCCCCATTTCACAATCTTTGGGTAAAACTTTGAACACTCTAGTTTATCTTCAATTAACTTTGCAAGAATGTTACCTTCAGTTTTGTTCTCAAGATTTTAATTGCTACATATTTTTATTCCTAAGAATTCAAATTGCAGAAAGAAATTGAATACAATTGCAATAAAATAACATAAAGTTCAAAATTTTGTTCAAGTTAATAGAAATAAATCTGTACATAAGTTAATATTTGAAAACCAGTGAACAGTGTTATTTTGATCCTCTAATTGGACTTTGACATATAAAATACGAAAAAAAGGTCTGGAATGTTCCATTTGGAATCATATCTATGTCATTGTTCTTTTGTAGTGTATTATAATTGTTGTTCCCATGCATGTTAAATGGGAATACAATGCTCATCCAATTTTTACATTTTTTTTATTGTTTTGAAAACATACATTGTGTTATGCTAATAAAATTATCAGATATTTTCAAATCTTTTCCTTGTTTTCAACAAAATCTGCCTTGCAGCCATGGAATTTGAAATAATACAATTTTTGTTGGTCACTTTTTGGGGAATTTATCTTTATATTAGCGTTACACACGTAAGTAAACTGGACTATTGAGTTGTTCAACAGGTTACTCAGTTGGTGAAGTGTCATTTTGTACAAGCTTAAGGCTCAGTTCCTGATCCTACTCTGTAAGTTAAACAAGGGGTCGAGGATTAATAGAATCTTTCACCCCCTTGGAGGTGAGACAGAGTAATCTCAACTAGAGGGGTGAGATTCTTAAGTTGTCAAACACGATGCTTGCTGAGTGTTTGACAGCTTAAGAATCTTACCCCGAGGGTTGAGATCACCCTGTCTCACTCCCAAGGGGGTGAATGACTTATATTTTTCTCTTACCCTGTTTACCCTCTTATGTATTTTATATAGACGTTACATCAATGAAAGACAATGTTGATGTGATGCGGCTGAATTGTCGACATGACGTCGTTGTATTGTTGCCGTGACGTCATGGTATTGTTGCTATGACGTAATACAATTGTTGAGAACGTGCAAAAAACATGTGTAGCTTGTCTCAACCCTAGGGTGAAATAAGAAAATCTCACACCGGTAAAATGGTGGATATCCCTGTCCACGGTAAGAGAAAGTCTATTCTCCCACACCTGACAGATTTATCTCCCGTTTTGCTGGTGCTANTATATTTTTCTCTTACCCTGTTTACCCTCTTATGTATTTTATATAGACGTTACATCAATGAAAGACAATGTTGATGTGATGCGGCTGAATTGTCGACGTGATGTCATTGTATTGTCGACGTGACGTCATTGTATTGTTGCCGTGACGTCATGGTATTGTTGCTATGACGTAATACAATTGTTGAGAACGTGCAAAAAACATGTGTAGCTTGTCTCAACCCTAGGGTGAGATTAATAGAATCTTTCACCCCCTTGGGGGTGATATAGGAGAATCTCAAACCGAGGGGAAGATTCTTAAGTTGCCAAACACGAGGTTTTGCCGAGTGTTTGGCAACTTAAGAATCTTTTCCCGAGGGTGGAGATTCCCCTATCTCACCCACAAGGGGGTGAATGATTCTTTTTCTCTTACCCTGTTCACCCATTGTGTATCATATACACAATGTAACGATAACGTNTTCAATCGCTACTGGTTGTGTAAGATAGAGAAATATCAACCCGAGGACTAAGATTTTTTTTCCAGAACTCGGCAAGCCTCGTTCTGGACAAAAAATCTTAGTCCGAGGGTTGAGATTTCTCTATCTTACACAACCAGTAGCGATAGATTCTATTAGTCTCTTACCCTGGACAGGTGTATATCCACAGTTTTACCGGTGTGAGATGTCCTTCTCTCTTACCCTGGACAGGTGTATATCCTTGTCTCTTACCCTGAACAGGTGTATATCCGCAGTTTTACTAGTGCGAGATATCCTTGTCTCTTACCCTGGACAGGTGTATCTACACTTTTACCGGTGTGAGATATCCTTGTCTCTTACCCTGGACAGGTGAATATCCACAGTTTTACCGGTGTGAGATGTCCTTGTCTCTCACCCTGGACAGGTGTATATCCTTGTCTCTTACCCTGAACAGGTGTATATCCGCAGTTTTACTAGTGCGAGATATCCTTGTCTCTTACCCTGGACAGGTGTATATACACAGTTTTACTAGTGTGAGATGTCCTTGTCTCTTACCCTGGACAGGTGTATATACACAGTTTTACTAGTGTGAGATGTCCTTGTCTCTTACCCTGGACAGGGGTATATCCACAGTTTTACTAGTGTGAGATATCCTTGTCTCTTGCCCTGGACAGGTGTATATCCACAGTTTTACCGGTTTGAGATGTCCTTGTCTCTTACCCTGGACAGGGGTATATCCACAGTTTTACTAGTGTGAGATATCCTTGTCTCTTGCCCTGGACAGGTGTATATCCACAGTTTTACCGGTGTGAGATGTCCTTCTCTCTTACCCTGGACAGGTGTATATCCTTGTCTCTTACCCTGAACAGGTGTATATCCGCAGTTTTACTAGTGCGAGATATCCTTGTCTCTTACCCTGGACAGGTGTATCCAAAGTTTTACTAGTGTGAGATATCCTTGTCTCTTGCCCTGGACAGGTGTATATCCACAGTTTTACCGGTGTGAGATGTCCTTCTCTCTTACCCTGGACAGGTGTATATCCTTGTCTCTTACCCTGAACAGGTGTATATCCGCAGTTTTACTAGTGCGAGATATCCTTGTCTCTTACCCTGGACAGGTGAATATCCACAGTTTTACCGGTGTGAGATGTCCTTGTCTCTCACCCTGGACAGGTGTATATCCTTGTCTCTTACCCTGGACAGGTGTATATACACAGTTTTACTAGTGTGAGATGTCCTTGTCGCTTACCCTGGACAGGTGTATATCCACAGTTTTACCGGTTTGAGATGTCCTTGTCTCTTACCCTGGACAGGGGTATATCCACAGTTTTACTAGTGTGAGATGTCCTTGTCGCTTACCCTGGACAGGTGTATATCCACAGTTTTACTACTGTGAGATATCCTTGTCTCTTACCCTGGACAGGTGTATATACACAGTTTTACTAGTGTGAGATGTCCTTGTCTCTTACCCTGGACAGGGGTATATCCACAGTTTTACTAGTGTGAGATATCCTTGTCTCTTCCCCTGGACAGGTGTATATCCACAGTTTTACTACTGTGAGATATCCTTGTCTCTTACCCTGGACAGGTGTATATCCACAGTTTTACCGGTGTGAGATGTCCTTGTCTCTTACCCTGGACAGGTGTATATCCTTGTCTCTTACCCTGGACAGGTGTATCCACAGTTTTACTAGTGTGAGATATCCTTGTCTCTTACCCTGGACAGGTGTATATCCTTGTCTCTTACCCTGAACAGGTGTATATCCGCAGTTTTACTAGTGCGAGATATCCTTGTCTCTTACCCTGGACAGGTGTTTTTCGCACTTTTACCGGTGTGAGGATTCCTTGTCTCACCCTAGGGTTGAGACGGGGGGGGATTCCCCTATTCATAACAATGGCATGACGTCACTTCAACAATACAATGACGTCACGTCAACAATCCATCAAAGACACGTCAAACCTGAATTTGGCATGTAACGTTATCATTACATTGTGTATATGAGAGAACAGGGTAAGAGAAAAAGAATCATTCACCCCCTTGTGGATAAGATAGAGGAATCTAAACCCTCAGGAAAGATTCTTAAGTTGCCAAACACTCGGCAAAGCCTCATATTTGGCAACTTAAGAATCTCCCCCCTCGGGTTGAGATCACCCCACTCACCCCAAAGCGGATGAGATTCTATTAATCTCCCCCTAGGGTTGAGACTGGTGTATTCCCCTACCAAATAAAAGGTATGACGTCACGTCCACAATCCATCAACGTCACGTCACGTCAACCCTGAATTTAGCCTGTGATGTTATCATTACATTGTGCATGATACACAATAGGTGAACAGGGTAAGAGAAAAAGAATCATTCATCCCTTTCAGGGTGAGATAGGGGAATCTCAACCCCCGTGGCAAAGCCTTGTGTTTGGCAACTTAAGAATCTTCCCCCTCGGGTAGAGATTTCCTTTTCTCACACCAAGGGGGTGAGAGATTCTATTAATAATATTAATATTATTAACCTATA